AAACTTTTTCTTTTTTTTTTTTTTTGAGACAGTCTTACTGTCACCCTGAGTGCAGTGGCATCATCATAACTCACTGCAACCTCAAACTCCTGGGTTCAAGTGATCCTCCTGCCTCAGCCTCCTGAGTAGCTGGGACTACAGGTATGTGCCATGAAGCCAGGCTAATTTTTTCTATTTTTAGTACAGATGGGGTCTCGCTCTTGTTGAGACTGAAATTAAGTAAATTTTTAAAAGTCAATGATATGGGAGAATGCCTACTTTATTGTTAGTAATACAGAAGAAAAAAACGTAAGGCTTTTCACAACATGGGAACAATGAAGGCTGAGGCAAGAGTAGAAAATGTCACAGTAAAGAGAAATAAACATGCATGGATGTGTCAATCAGAACTGGGCACCTGAAGCGGATGGTAAAAGCAGCAAGGCCAACTCCCATTTAAAAACCTTTTAGAACATATCCATTCGTAGAGTGAAATATATACTGGCTGCCTGCTATATGCAGAATGCACTGAGCTGGTCCCCAACCCTTGATGTATTCTAAATCAAATCTGATATAGCTTGAGATACTTTTTTTTTTTAAGAATGACAAAAACAGACTGGTATATGCTTTTCTTTATTAAATCTTACTTATATTCTTTAAGGGACAAACACAGACACAAGTAGGCTACAGTGAAGAAATCTTATTTTTATAAGAGAGTTAAGAAACCACTAAGATACTTCCAGGTATTATCTTCAGTGATGCTTCTTATCTTTATTCAGGGACTTCAGGAAATATTCAGCCCCTACAGCTACGACAAATGCAGCAAATCCCCATTTGAATCCTTTTAATAATGCTCCAACAAAGGAAACATTGTTTGCAAAGCCACCCATGTATCTCCAAGCTTCATTGCTAGAGGAAAAAAAGGGAAAAATTATAATCACACACAACTTGTGTACATTCACTGAGTAAAATAAACTGAATTTTCATCTTTCTAACATACTTAAATGCAACCCTATATAAGATAAGTGGATCACAATAGGAATCTTTCTGTGGCATAGTATAATTAAGTATATATGCCCAAGTCTCACATATAAAATAGGAAAAAAAAACACTTAATCATTTCACATTTCACAGTCACATTACTCAGGAGTTTACAGAACTCTCACATGCAAGACTCACTTCAGCCTATCTGTCACAGGTCAGCTGGGTGGCTCTGCCCATATTAGTCATTACAATATCATAAAAAATGAAAGATGAAGTTAGAGACTTGAGTATTTATCTTTGCTCTGCCACTTATACTACTAGATTTATAACCGTTTTAGGCTGGGCAAGGTATTAACCTGTCAGGATCTGCTTCCTCTTCTATTCAATGATGATTACTATCTACTTTACAGTGTTGTTAGAAAGATTGAACAGGCTCATGTATGATATATTTTGGCACAGGAGTGTATAACACTTGACATCATTATTAGTATTCGAGAGGATTGCAGCTTTTCCCTGTCATAGCAGCCTGAACTTTAGAGGACTGAATTCCTGCTCTGGCAATCATTCTTATGAGTACTCTGAATAGAGAAGTAAACAGAAGTCAGAAAGCTCTAGGGAAAAAGACTTCTCTCACAGATAAGGACAAGTCAGTGAAAAAAATCATGTTATGCAAAACAAAAACCACCTAACTAAAAATCTGACTTACTAGAAAATATGAGAGCTAATCAGATCTAATTTAGATACCAAAACCAGACAAAGATGTTAGAAGGAAAGAAACTACAAAATAATATCCCTCATGAACATAGATGCAAATATTCTTTTTTTTTTTTTTTTGAGACAGGGTCTTGCTCTGTTGTCCAGGCTAGAGTGCAGTGGCAACATCATAGCTTGCTGAATCCTCAAATTCCTGGGCTAAAGAGAGTCTCCTGAGTAGCTGGGATGAAAGGTGCCTGCAACCATGCCCAGCTCATTTTTTTATTAATATTTTTTTGTAGAGACAGGGTCTTACTATATTACCCAAGCTGGTCTTGAACTCCTGGGCTCAAGCTATGCTCTTGCTTTGGCCTCCTGAAGTGCTGGGATCACAGGTGTGAGCTACCACACCCAGCAACATTCTTAACAAAATTTTAGAAAACTGAATCCAGTAATATAC